TTTGTGTGTCTGATTCATGTCACTTAACATCATGGTCTCAAAGTCCATCCATTTCCTACAGATGACTCAAGTGTATCTTTCTTCCTGGCAGAGTAATGCTCCACTGTGTGTGAATACCACGTTTGCTTCATCCATTTCTCTGCTGATGGACACAGGTCACTTCCAAGATTTAGCTGTTGTGAGTTGTGCTGCTATAAATATGAGGATGCATGGATCCCTCTAATGTGATGCCTCTAACTCTTTCCGGAAGATGCCCAGGAGGGCAGTGACTGGGTTGAATGGATTTAACTTTTACATACTGCCCAGTTGACCTACATCCCTGTGCTTGTTCAGTCCGTGTGAGCAGTGTGTGAGACTCCTGGCTCCTCCCCGAGTCCTACCCAACTTCAGGACACTCACCAGCTTGACAGGTTTCATATTGGATTTCCTCAGCTAATCAGGGAGCTGAGTGTGTTTTGTGCTGAATATTGGCCATCTGTATGCACCTCTGTGAAATGCCTGTTGATGCTGTTTCCCTTTCCTTTAATGGGTTGTTTTTTCTTATCTATTTATAAGAGTTCTTTAAATATTCTAGGTACTGAAATGTTTTTTGGTTTAGATGGATGTCAAAACAACTTTTCAAAGTGTACCTCATCACTCAGGTTGTTCTGAACGGGAGCAAGGAGTTAACCCTCAGGCCTGCGGTCTTTTCCCAGCAGCGCAGCCAGTCACGAAGTAAGTAAGTAAGGCCTTCAGATTACAGGAGAGGGGGTGGAGGAGGTGGGACACTGCTGTGATAGAGCCTCCCCCCCAGAGGTTGTGGTGGATAATTATCCCGAGCCCCCCCCACCAGATCCCCTCCCTTAACCCTGCTGGGCAGGAGCCCATTCCCCAGTTCGGTGACCCTGGGGCCAGGCTGGGCCTAGAGCGCAGGACTTTCTAGATGGTTGCCTCGGGCGAGGACAGAGCACTGGGTTTGTCTTTTGCCGAGCCCTTTTCTAGCTATGCCTCCTTCAAGGCGGATCCTTTGAGCAGAGGCGAGGACCGCCCTATAGCCGGGGAATTGGAAAGATCCAGTGAGGCACACATGAAAGGACTAGTGAACTCGTGATAGGAGGTATGATAAAAGTGCAGTGAGTGTTTCAATTTAAAAATGTGCTGCAGTGAAAGCCACGTTGCCATGAATCACCCCCAAAACTCTCCCCTTCACTTTGCACACACTCGTGCCGTCATCCTGGCCGCTGCTTGCAGCAGCTCTGGAGTCCTCTCTCCTGAGGGTCTTTAGTTTCGATGTTCTGGCTGCCTCAATGTCCTGAATTGATTCAAAACATCTGCCCTTCATGGTCATTTTGACTTTGGGGAAGAGCCAGGAGTCACACAGCACCAGATCCAGTGACTAAGGTATATGAGGACAAAGCATCGTGTTTTTATTTGACAGACATTGCTGTGAACGGTTGTTCATTGAGGGGTGATTAAAACTTATGGTGAATGTCTAAATAAAAATATTCATTACTGGTCTGGATGTGGTGGCTCAAACCTGTAATCTCAGCACTCTCCCAGGAGGCTGAGGCAGGAGGATCACTGTGAGTTTGAGGCCAGCCTGAGCTACACAGTGAGATCCTGTCTTCCCTGAAAATTTTTATTATAGTAAAACACACTTTGCCATTAATACCCCTTGCTTCCCACACAGTTATCCCGTTGTTCTTGGCAATCTGTCTTTTACTGTAATAAGTTTTGAAAAACTTAAAGATTCACTATATATGTATTTTTAAAAGATTCACTATTTTCGATCAGGAAAGTAGCCCTGGGAAGGAAGTAACTAGAGCTGGAAAACCTCACTGTCTGGCAGTGGCCGGCCTGGTCTTGCCTCCTCCCACCGTCCTCCTCGGGGCAGGTGCAGGACTGCAGGGGTGGAGCCTGGGGCCCATTGGTTACAAACACATCCTCAGCCCAGCTCCGAGGCTCCAATGGGACACCTGGGGAGGGACCCGGCCCTGCAGAGACCCACAAAGGCTTCAGGCCTCGGGCCTGAGCACGGGCACGGGGGATCTAAGCGCATCCCCAGACCCTGCCTGGGCCCGAGCTGTGCCCCAGGAAAGGGGGTGACAGGACACTGTCAAGTCGGGGTGTGGGAGCCACATTGACAAGCAGGATCCTGGTTGTGCCGCTTTTTGGCTCCCTGTCCCTGGCCAAGTGGCCACTTCTAGAAACGTTGGCTCTGGAAGAGTTCACATTCACTTGCTGCTTCCCGTGTGCCGGTCGCAGCCCTAAACGGTGCATGTTCTTATTTCTTTATTGTTATGCCTGCGACAACCCCTAGTTTACAGCGAGGAGAACGGAAGCACAGAGAGGTGAAGGGCACAGCCAGTGTGGGCAGTGGCAGCTGTGGCTGGTTTCCGTGCCTGGAAATTTGGCTTCGCAGCGGTTTGTGCTCAGCCAGGCGTCCGACACCCCAGTCCCCCCAGTGCGTTGTCTGCTCCCCACCCACCTCTCCTCCGGCCCTTTGGGTGCTGGGAGCAGGACCAGTGGGGGCTCGGCCTGGGGTCGGGGTGAGGGCCAGCGCTGGGTCACCAGTGCCTGGGAATGAATGACGCAGCCAGAAGAGTCCCCGCAGGCCACCTAAGATCCCTGGCTCTGGCTAATTTGGGACACACCCTCCAGTCTTCAAGGGTCCCAATGTCCCTAGGACTCAAGAAGCCTTTTCTCCCACTCCCTGGTCCTTGTTCAGACTCCACTCTGCAGCTTGTGGGTCGTGACTCGGGCTGGCAGAGAGGGTGAGGCCTGGGGCCCAGCCAGCTGCCCGAGCCTCCCAGCCCAGGGACCAAGACAGTATCCGGCCCACTGGTGCTGCCTGTGGGGCCACAGCACCTGGGGCATTGGAGCCGGACCAGCCACCCACCCTTGTCCCCAGTGAGGTGTGGCTCTGAGGTGTGAAACATGGAGGCACAAGACTTCTGAGAGGTCCCGGTCCTGGTGGAATGGCTGAGAATCGGGCTCCAGGGCTCTGCTACACACATTTTGTGTCAGGAGCGGGGTGTGGTGGTGCAGACCTGTAACCCCAGCCCTCAGGAGGCTGAGGCAGGAGGATTGGCATGAGTTCAAGGCCAGCCTGGGCTGCACAGTGAGACCCTGTCTCAGAAAAAAAAAAAAAAAAAAAATATATATATATATATGTACACACACGCACGCACCCGTGCACGCGCATGCACACACACACATACACAGTGTTAGGAGGGGACAAGAGATGCTTTTAAATTTGCTGATCCTTTCAAACTCCTTTTTAAAAAGAGATCCACTAAAGATGGATGGGGAGGCACATTCCAAATATTACCAAAGCAGACACGATTTCGGACTCACTCTGTGATTCTTTCAATTTTTTTTGGTATGCTTGAAGCTTTTTATAATACAATATTGAGCAAAAGACAGACACTCCTAAGACAGACACTCCTTTCTCAAAGAAAGCAAACACAATTATTTCTTTCTCGAGAAGACCAGGTGCCCCTGCTCCTCTGCTTCCTTCCTGCCAGGCCCAGCCCAGCAGCGCTGTGCTCAGCGCCTTGCATCCTGAGATCCCTGCCCCACAGCCCAAAGACCGGTTATTATTCCCGTCTAATGAGGACCTGGGGCTTCAGGGCTGGGGTGACCTGGGTCGCAGATAATGATGAGCTATGCAGCCCTGGGGGCCCCTGGGTCTGAACCCTGGCAGCTCCACCCAACCAGGAGGGCAGTGCTCATGCCCCCCCCCCCCAAGGGAACCCAGGGCGGTCAGGATGGGCCCAGGCTGCTGCCTGGGGAGCCCTGCCCGGACTCCACCCGAGTCAGAAAGTTGCCGTGCCCCCTCGGGGACAGAGGCTGCTTTGTTCAGCGCCGTGTCGCCCCTGTGTTCAAGTGGTGCCTGGCACACGGGCGCTGTTGACAAAGTGTGTGTGACCCTCACCCCGTGTCCCGAAGCGCCCCACTGGGCTCGGTCCTGCAGGAAGCAGTGCCCGTGTCTCTGGGTGACTCCTGGCCGAGGGCACCTCAGAGGCACTGGGCTGAAGGACAGCCTTCTGCCACTGTCCTGGAGCTCCTAGGCAGCTAAGGTCTACTGCGGACCCCAAAGCCAAACCTGGAACATTTCTCAGCCTGGGAGAGCTTCACGGGGAGCAGCCAGACGTCAACCGGGGGCCCCAGTGGCCACGGAAACTGTCGCCCTGCAGCCTTAGGGGGGCCTGCTGTGAGGAGCAGCGCACCGAGTCCTCTTCCTGCACCAGCAGTGGCAGCCCCGCCGGAACTCAGTCCGCCTCAGGGCCCTGCTGGCGCTCCCTCTGCTCTCCCCAGCAGCCTTCTGAGAGGCTGACTGGCTCCCTCACCTCTCACCTCTCAGTCACAAGACAGAGAGGGAGAGAGATCCCAACCTCCCGCCTGACTTCTGGGCCAGCGGATCCCGTGCCGGTTTCTGGGGCTAGAGCAGGTCGCATTTCTTTTCCCCCTCGTCGAGTTAGGTCACTTCATCTTTCTGGGTGTGAGTTTGCCAGTCCGCACAGTGGGGACAGACACCAGCCTCAGTGGGGTCTTGGGGCAGAGGAGGCCGTGGGGTCCAGAACATCAGTCGAGGTCTTGGGATGAGGGCGCTGGGGCCCTGAGCCCTCTGCCCTAAGTGGCGTGTCCTTCACTCGCCCGGCCTCTGTCTAGACGGCCCCTCTGTCCCCCACACCAGGACTCCTTTCCCTCTGCAGCATCACGCGGTGTCACGGGCCTGGATTTACCTTTGGCCTCTCGGGATCGTCCCATGTAGCCCGGGAGCAGGGGAAGCCGGGGCTGGGTCTCCCCGATACCGCGGAGCCCTAACAGGCGGAACAGAGCCAGGCACAGACAGCTCTGTGTTGGGCGAGTGGTAGGCAGGAAGAGAGGAAGGCACTGGAGCTGAGTGACCGTGACCAGTGAGCTGGGGTGGAGGTTGAAAGTTTTCCTGGGCTCTCCCTAACCCTCCGCTGGGATTTCCGGGTGTGGCTCCCTCCTGCCCGTCCCTGGCAGGGCCACCCAGCGACCTACAGCCAGCGCTGTCCGCCTGCAGGGGGAGGTGGGCTCTGCGTCCTGCGTCTATGCAGCGCTTGGCGCAGGGCCTGACAGAGACAGGTTTGCTGAATAAATGCAGCAAGCAACCAATGACTGTGTGAGGGACGCCGGGCACGCAGCCCTCAGTCCCGGCAGAGTCGCCCAGACGCAGACGGTCGCCTTTGAGCTGCGGCGAATCCCCACCCCGGGGAGGAGACGCCAGCCGCTCCGGAGCCGGTCCAGGCCGTGTTTTGGAAGCTGTGTTTACGTCTCCTCCATTCCCATCCTCTCAGCTCCAGCACAGGCGGAATTATAACCTGAGCCTCCCGCCTCACAAGACTCCCAGAGCTGCCCGCCCGGAGGGACTTCGCCCCCAGGCCTCGGGCTGGCTGTGAATGACAAATCGGAAGTCAGGGCTGCAGGACCGCCGGCTCTCCTGCTTCTTTGCAGCAGAGGAAGGAGGCAGAGGATGAAAGATTCTGAAAATAAAGGTGAGGGGCCCAGCGCCGGGAGGCTGAGGATGCGGACGGGATGTGGGCCAGTGGGCAGGTGGCGTCCTCCTGGCCGGTGGGGTTGCTGCTCCAGCCCCAGTTATGTAATCCGTACGTCCGTGTGCAGTGCAGGGCACACATTATGTCATTCCCTTTTCTATTTCTGTCGTCCTAAACAGCGCTCTATTCTTGTATTCTTTATTTAATCTTGGCTGAGTAACGTATATTTCTGTTGCGCAGCTTTACTGACAACGCTCCCGAGATCGTGATCATTTTTATTTTGGGGTTGTTCACATTAGCTAATCATGAAAATGTGGGGTTTCCGGGCACTGTTAGGATACAAGTGAATTACTTGGGACCCCTGAGTGTGTGTTCTGAGCTAAGCCCTGCCCAGGGTCCCCTAAGGGGCTTTAACCTTTCAGGGGCCCCTGGGAGCTGTCCTGACCTTCATGACTTTATCTCTGTTTATCTTGCGGGGAGATTTGCGGGTGCAGCTGCCCCCAACCCCCCAAACAGCAGCACTAATTCTGGAGGCAGAGAGAATGGATTTAAACAGAAACTCAGGGAAGGAAAAGGCTCCCTGACACAGTCAAATTTTAAGTTCAAAACAAGAATTCTGGGGTCTTAAAGATTCCCAGGCTCCTTAAATTTTCTGCCGCAGTTGGGGGAGGAGCCACGGACCCCAGGTCTCGCTCGGTCCCTCTGGGTTCCTGCTTCCTCCTCCTGCTGTCTCCGGCCAGGTCTGCGCACGGGGACAGTGGTGTCTGATTCTGGAGTCCCGGGCTTCTTGCACCGGTGCTCTGCCCCACGGGGTCGCCTTCCCCTGTCCTCCTCTGGCTCCAGTTGTAATGCGACTCCCACCCAGCGACGGGCCCATTAGAGAGGAATTCCACATTTAGAAAAGAAAAAACAAAACAAAACACCCCTGAAAATGACCCCCCACCCCACAGAAGCCGTGCGGGGCGCTTCGTGGCGGACCCACGCTTCAGTGCCAGCTCCTGTGCTGTTGCCTTGGGGTTTCCGGGTTCCTGGTCCTTCTCATCCAGGCATCGATCCATGTGGTTTGGGCATTTAAATTTTAATTAAGCCACCATGGTGGAGAGGTCCATTCATCCCTGAGGCTAAAGTCGGTGTGAGCCCAGGTTAAATCCACTCTGAGAAGGATGCTGGCCCTTCCGGCCGGGTTTGCAGAGATTGCAGAAAGGGTGGATGGAAAGAAAAATGTGCTTATGTGCTAAGTCATGGTAGGCCCAGCATGGTATAGAGAAAATTAAATTGAGGTCGGGATTCACCCTCCTTGGGATGGAGCCACACTAGGTCTGAGGCTGGGGGAGCCCTGTCTGTGCAGGGAGCTGGGGTTCAGGTTTTGCTTCACTCGGTGCAGAGAGAGTGCCTTGGGGTGGCAGTGTCACCACTGGGGACCCAGGATACGGGGACCCAGGACACGGGACCTAGGACCCGGGATACGGGGACCCAGGATACAGGGGCCCAGGACATGGGACCCAGGACATGGGACCAGACCCTTTGCTCCCTGGGGCTTGGTTTCCCTGTTTTTCAGTTGCGGGTGGAGGATGAGAAAGCAATTCAGTGGGTCTGAAGCAACAAACACTTCAGGGAGGTGAAGGAGGATGTCAGACACCACCGAAAGGGTGAGGGCTGATGGGTTCTGGAAGCTTCTGTGGAGACAACCCTTCCTGGCTGTGGCCATTCGCTGTACCCTGACCTCAGACCTGGGTTTTCCTTTACTGTGAGTTCCGGTCAAAACAGTGTGAAGAACACAAGTCATAACCTCTTACCTTGACTTGCAAGGAGCCCATGAGATGCGCTTTTACACAGATGTGATCTTGTCTGGAGGCAGTCAGGAGTTTCCCACAGATGTGCAGGGCCATGACCCCAAACTGGCCAGACTTAGTGGGTTCCCAAGGCCTCCCAGGACCCTTGGAAGCCAGTTGCTTGGGGCAAGAGACTCCCTTCAGGGCTGGGTGAGGGCAAGTGTTGACTTGTAGCTGAGTGTGATGTCTGGGATGTGTGTGTGTGTGTGTGTGTGTGTATGTGTGAAGGTGTGACCATGGCCACCAGACCGCGTGAGGGTCCCAAAGGCGCAGCTGGGACCTGAATATGGAACAAGTGCACGAAAATTTGGTCTTTTCTTAGAACCACAGAACAACTAATAAAATGGGTGCTTTGTTTGGGAGTCCTGTCTCATATGGACTGATACAGAGAGCTGGGTAAAATGTAAATGGACGGATAAATGACCGCGTGTTTGGGCAGATGATCAGGCAGGCAAATCTTAATTTTTAGAAACTACTGTCACATGGCTGATGGGCAGTATGTGTTGACTTGTGGCTTAATGAGTTTTAATCATTGCCTTTTTCTCTTTTTCTTTTTCTTTTGGTTTTCTTTTGTTTTTTGGGGGGAGGGGTGCCGGGGATGGAACTCGGGTCCTTGCGCATGCGCAGCAGGTGGTGAAACCCCTGAGCTAAATCCCCGGGCCACCTTTTGGTTTTCTTGTGACAGGGTCTCACTATGTAGCCCAGGCTGGCCTCAAACTCTTGGCGATTCTCCTGCCTCAGCCTCCCAGTGCTGAGATTACAGGCATGCACCACCATGCCCAGCTGCCTTTCTTTCTTTTCCTGCTGTTTAGTGCATCTTAGGACAGTCCAGTGAAGTTTCTTGCATTTTATTTTTGTCAGCATAAGTCTGTAGCGCATAATGATCACATTCATCACGTGCAGTTGGGGCTTCCACATAATACATCTTAATTATTTTCGTCCCGTCCCCTCCTTCTCCTGCTCCTCATAGATTGGTCCCTTCCCATTTGCACAGTGGAGTTTTTAAATACCAAAGGCTTTGTATGACACGTCTCCAGAGTATCTCAAAATGCTTTGCAAGCCAGGATTAGTAAATTATGTGTGAAGCAATGAAGAAGAAAAAGCTGACTCAGTTAGTAAGTAAACATTGATCGACATGACAGCTAATTATTATAGCAACCACAGCTCCTGCTTAATGAATGAGTAGCAGGTGAATGGTTCCCAGAGAAGTGAGTTACACATTGTCCCAGTATTGGAAGGTAGGAGGTATTTTACAGGAAGAAAATGGATTAAGAATTTGGCTCATTTTCTGGGCTACGTTTGTTTGGAAAACAGACATTTAAACACTGTAGATTCTGATCCAGATTTTTCTTTCAGTACCTTCTTTGAGTATTTTATTTTACTTATTTTTTTGAGATGAGTCTTGCTAGCTTTGAACTCACTGCGTAGCCCAGGCTGGCCTTGATGATCCTTCTGCCTCAGCCTCCCAAATGCTGGGATTATAGGCCCATACTGCTCTATCTGACTTTCTTTGCATATTTTATGCAACAAGGTCTAAAGGCAGAAATAAAAAAGGAGAGAACTTGAAAATTTAGGTGAAAATGTTTTTCGTCTATAATAGGTCAAAAAAAGTTTTCTTCTGTTATTTTTTGAGATTTTATTTCAGAATAACAAACATGCTGCTTTGGGAGCAAATGAAGATATGCCTAACATTTAAAAGCACAAGTTGAGTGTTGTGTGAACAGTGATCCTGAAGCATTTCTACTTGGATTTATTATAAAACCTGATTGGGATTGGAACAGAGTCAGACAGCTTTTCAGGCTCTGTGTATTAAAAATAATATGTTATCTGTACCCCAATCTGTAATTCAAAATAAAATAAGTATAAGGAAATCCAAAAATGCTGATTTTTTTTTTCCTTGCCCAGCATGACTACCTTGGGACTTTTAGAGGAAACTCAAATTCTTTCAAAGATTTTTGCCAGGGCTGCTTTGACAGGTGGCTGGCGAGCTGGTTTTTCTGCTGGGCCGGCTGTGGAGGACGGATGTGGTGAAACTGCTAAGATGAGGCTTTGTCTATGCCGGGTTCTTGGTGGGGACAGCCGTGCCTCCTGGGACACGCTGGAAATCTGCACACTTGCTTTTCAGTGTCACATGACCCAGGGGCCCTGGTAGAGACAGAAATGCTTGCTGTCCTGCCACATTCTGGACCATTCCACTCAGCGACAGATATGCTTGTGTCCTCCACAACTTCAGATGTTTTGCTAGTGAGGTGAGCAAAAGGCTCCATGCTTTTCTGAGCCTAGAATGTCAGGTGGCTGCTGTCAGTGTGGACTGCAATCTCCAGGCTTACAGATGCTGTGAAAGTCTAAAGAAAACGATGCTCAGTTCTGTCATAAAATCACTTACGAAGGCAACCCTGCTGGTCTGAGACACCAGTGCACCTGTCCCATTTGATCTGGGCCCGGTACCAGAGTGTAGTGGCTTTGTTATGTCCCCTAAGGCAGGCCTGCCTGACTGCTCACATGTTGGAACATGTACGGTTTTATTAGACATCACTTATTTCATGTCTCCTTACTGCACTGGAAACATTTTATATATTTTTGCTTTTGTGTTAGGCTGTTTTATCTTTGAATTTCATCTCAAGATATTAAATGGAAATACAAAATATTTTACTATTTATGTGCTTTGGTCTTGCTTGCTCAGTCGTAGTAAAATGACTTGCATTGACCCCTTTTCTTTTTTTTTTTTTTCTTTTTTTTTAACCTCTTTTCTATTTAGAAAGAGTTCGAGACCGCATTAAAGCTTTTGGAAACTGCATATTCTATTCTCTTCTTTAAAAAGGATCTCACCAGTCCACGTACGAGGCTTGAGCTGAGCATGCACCGGGCTCTATTAAGGGGAGAGGCATTGCCATATCGGGGTACAAATCTGCTGAAAAGCGAGGCCATTGGCGCCTAAGTTTTTAATGTTACCGCAGCTGGCACTTTAAAATTTCATTTCTGAGTCGTTCCTCCAATGTAGAAATATAACTCATTTTACATGTTGGCTTCATTTCTGTGACTTTGCTAAAAATTCACTGATTTTAGTAGTTTTTAGATTTGGGGTCTGCTGTGGAGTCCATTGGCTTTCTGTAAATAATGACAGTTTTGTTTCTTCTTTTCCCTTGGTCGTATTTTACTTGCCAGGAT